TCTGAATGATAAGACTGACTGGCGTCTTCGTGCTTCATTCTTTGAATGCTGCCCAATCATCGCACAATTCGTTGGTCGAGCAAGCACTTACATCCTGAAATCGCTGCTGCAACAGGTCTGATCCGTTATTTAATTTCGAAATGGTGTGTGGTGTGTGTATGTGTGTGTGTCCTTCTGTGGGCGTGCGTCCTTCTGTGGGTGTGTATGTGTGTATTTGGGTATATGTGTGTGTCTTTGTGTATGTTCGTATGTATGTTTATTTTTACATAGGCATTGTGTGCTTGCATTTGTGTGATGGGAATGTATCAATAAACGTTCTAATTCGCGCATTTTTTATTAACTATAGCATTAAGTTAAAGTATAATTCGGTTTTGCTATTAATAAGATTAGTTTTTTATTTTTATTTTTTTTTATTTTTTACTTTAAGTAGCTGTTTCATTGTCGCGTTTATTCCTGTCACTGATGCAGCTAAAAACTTCTCCATTCTTCTCCGTTTTCGGCTCCTCTCGTAGACTTAATTCTGTACGGGGGTTTAGTTCCCTACTATATCCAGTTGTGGATGTGGACTCCGTTTCGTGTATATGAGTATGCCTATTCTTATCACAAATTAAAGTATTTTTGATTCCTATGAGAATATCACTTATATGTATTTACTTTCTTTTTTTGAGGGCTTACATGATTATGAAGAATTCGTGCAACTCTGTGCCCTACGCTGTATATGTCAATTATGCAAGCAAGATTTGTTGGAAAAGTCCGCGACATTTGAGATGCTCACCGATGTTATGCCGTTTTTAGCACATCCTGTAAGCACTTCACTGATTTGTCGTTACTTAATTTTATACTTTTCATATAAGTTGCTTCATCGTTGTGCATCTGTTACTTGACTAAACGATGAAACTCTCCAGTTTTTGACGACTGCTGTAATCTGCAGTTCTAGCGGTATCGGTTTTTACGTGTCACGGGAGTCTCACGAAAAGTCGGCAAAGAAAAGGCAGTTTGCTACATATGATAGCAACATCAGAAAATTGAAAAACATTGGCTGAAATTTTGTTAGGATGTTTGTCTTCCGTGTAGGAAATAGTATACCCGAAATGAGTACCGATTTGCACTTGTGCCACGACTTAGGGCACTTCAAAGATATTTGTAGCGAAGTGGATATTTCGCTTACCAGATAAGCTGCGAGACTGAAAATTGGGGGAGGGGAGGAGGGGAGGAGATGTATGCGTCTTGCATACATACAGGACAGATATAAATGCCCCAGTTGATGTGGGGAGCACAAGGGCCGGTAGTGTAGTGGTCTAGCATGTCATGTGCGAATGCAGTAAAGAGTGGTTCGATTTCTTCTCGGTTCACGACTACTGGTTAAAAGAGATTCCGCCTGGGACACGCTGTTAATATTGCAGCATTTAAGAATACGGAGAAAAATGCTCATTATGGGTGCATAGCGCGGTAATGCAAACGAACTCGGAGATTTTGAGCAAAGCCAATGATTTGATCATTCTCGAACTGTTTTTTTTTTTTTTCAAATTTAGAACGAATATCTGCGGATGACAACTGTAAATATTCTAAGTGTGCTGGATACGAAATACGGTGTTGCTGATATGCTCTGTAAAGTGATGCCAAATTTGGAACCGTATACCACCGAACCATTGATTCGACTGAGGCACAAGGTAAAATCTTTACTTTTACTTTTATTATTATGTTAGATTTTGTCAATGGAGAAAATCAGCCTTTTTACGGTTTGGTAACGTAATTTGATCAGCTTCGGATTGTTGTGAAGGAAAAATTGCTTTTTCACTTCGCTTTACCCCATAACAAATAATTAATTGTATTTCTGGTTCGTTATCCTCAAGTATTCAGTGCGCGCTAGTTTGGAAGAAATTCTACTGCCAGCAAATATTGCTAGAATCCTTCGACTACACACCCATATTGAGCATTTATTTCCGTATCCTAAAGAGGGTGGTTTGATTTCTTCCCAGTCCATAACTCTGCGCAGAAAATGTTAAACAGCCAGATGGTATTCAAGAAAGAAAGCAGCTAAAAATACAAATTTTACATTTTGTTGTCAATCGTGATTTAACAATCTCAACACGGATACTTATATTTTTTGCAGTTTGCTGTTGCCGCAATACTGAAGCCATGCATCCCGCGCCCAATCTGGACTTTTGTTGTCGATCATTCTCCTGTGAAAGCGCTGCTCAATTTCCTCACCGACAAGCAAATGTATATAGCAATGGATGGTGGCCCAGATTCGATGTTCGCCACTAGTAGGAGGTGATTTTTGCCTG